GAGCCACATCTCCAACCCTATTTTGTATTTTATTTAGAGACAGGGTCTCACTGAGTGGCTTAGTACATTGCTTTACTCAGGCTGGCTTTGAAGAGATCCTCCTGCCTCAGCTTTCCAAGCCCTTAGGATTATAGGGACGTGCCAGCATAGCCAGCAGCAAAATAGAATTCTATATACCACAAATTAAAAGCAATACTTTTCCTTCAGCTACAACTTTTATCTGAACCTGAAAGATGACCATTAAAAATACTCCAGTTTTAGCTGAACTTATAAAGGTTAAAAATGTATGTTAATAAAGTTTAAAAATCTGAAATACACAAGATATGCATATATTGTACAGCAGAATGAAAAGTTATTTTATATATTAACAATCTCATTGTTTTTACATTAGCAAAAAGCAAGGTCTTTTCTAACATTAAAGCAGGTGGGGGGGGGGAGAATCACATCAAAATCAAATCACATACAAAATTACTAAAGTTACCGTGTTCCTTATATAATTATTTAAAAGATTAAATGACAATATATAAACTGAGAATCTTTTTTAATATATTTTAGTTGTAGTTGGGCACAATACCTTTATTTATTTTGTTTTATGTGGTGCTGAGGATCAAACCCAGTGCCTTGAATATGCTAGGTGAGCACTCTACCGCTGAGCCCCATGAACAGCCCAAGAATCGTATGTATATAATTTTACTAGCTAAAATACAGCAAATGATGAGTCTAGCTATTAAGTAATAAGAATGCATAAACTTTGCTAAAATTTGGTATATCTTTCCTTACAATTAGCTGTTTAGACTTTACTTTATAATGACTATCATTTAAATTTCCTGCCTTTCTCTTGAATAAATTCACTGAAAATTTCTTTATTCCCCTTCATTTATAAACATTTCCTACTCTCCCTGTTAACTCCTAAACATTTCAATGTGAATAAACAAATTATAAATTCAGCCAGGAGTGGTTGTGCATGCCTGTAATACCAGAGGCTCAGTAGGCTGAGGCAGGAGGATTCCAAGTTCAAGGTCAGCTTCAGCTAAGCTACCCAGCAAAATCCTGTCTCCAGATAAAAAATAAAAAAGGCTGAGGATATATGTATATTAAAGTTTATGAAACTATAACCTAATTATCACCCAACCATAAAGCTCATTTTATAAGTTCATAAAATATCAATTACAGATGAAGCAGATCTGAAGACGCTGAGTGACTTGCCCAGGGCCACTTAGCACTATAAAGCTGGGACCTGAACTTTTCTGATTTAAACCCAATGCTTTTTTTTTTTTTAACTACTAAATAATTTACCTATGATAGGAACAGAAGTTTGGTCAATTCAAATTTACCGAGCTTTTAAACTATGGTACACTTTAAAAAATAAATGTGGGTTAAAACAGTTACTTAGGATTTTGATATGCTTGTCAGTGTATTTCTGAAAACAGATTTTGTTTAGAACACTGCAGTACCATCAGTAAGCACACCTTTCCTGAGGCACCGAGGACTTCACATCAGATAAAAAAACTAACCATAACCCAGCAAGATCTGACTCAGATTAAATTTCCTAAGTTCATATTTTGCAACACTGTACTAAATTTTCTTGAGTAAAGTTTCTTTTGTAATATTTTGATTCTAATGCAGGAATTAATAACAAGTAATGTGTTAACTTGTTTTAAACAAACATATTCTCTAAACTGTCACAAAGAAATGATGTGCACGGATTTGAGCTACTTAATTTTAACATATTCACAAGTATCCTGTGCATCCTAATCTTGCACCAAAGATATTTAGTAATAAGTGAATTTCAAGTAATACCAGCACTTAAAAAAAAAAAAAAAATCTGTATAATGGTCATACCCCACCTTTTTGCAAAAAAATTGGCATGAAATCTGCGACAATTATATAGTGAAATACAGTCCGTAATTCCCTATGAGGCACAGGTAAAGAAAGTCACCAAAGGAATTTATATCAAAATAAGACTAATAATACCTATCTTTTGAAACTTCTAAGAAATTAAGTATAGAACTTTAAAATTTTTATGAACATGAAATGAATCTACAGCAATTAGAATTCCAACTGCAGCTGAAAAATTTCTAGATATAATTTTTATTGTCCACAGAACTGCAATTTATACAATAAATTCTCTAAGTTACATTAACTTAAATGGCATTCGGAACTTTGAAAGCACTTCTCTACCAAAATGATACCTCTGAATTCTATTCCTTTTCCTGAGGTTTCTAACACAAGGATACCAGGTCACAAGTTTCTTTTAGGCTTTAAATGTACTGGGTGTAGTGCAAGTCAAACCTTGCCACTCTCTCTACTGGAGGAATGGAAACTTAAAACTGACACTGCTTTCAATTTTCTTTGCTTTTACTAATTTTTTTTCCCCTTAGTCTAAGGACACAAATGACGTTCTCAAGAATGAATTCAATAGCTAATGTGATTAGCTTTGTAATTTAAAAATCTATGTGTTCCAGTGTTCTTAATATATAAACATTATACTTAAATTACTTAAAATATTTATGCTCCAGGCCATTTGTTTGTGGTTCTTCTATTACCTCTAGGTAATAATTCCTTCCAGACTCTCTCTTAAGAATGAAGCACACATTCCTATTAAAATAGATGCAAAACTAAAGAAAAAACATGCTACTTGGCAAAAACAAAAATTAAGTATTCACCTAGTTTAGTTATACAAAATACTCTATACGTCTTTGCCCTGATGAGAAGTATCAAATTCTTACAAAAAAAAAGAAAAATGAATTTGTCAATTTAGGAGAGTAAAAACAAACATACTATTAGAATTGGTTCTTGGGCTAATTAATGGGGGGGGGGGGGGCATTCTTGAAGGCAAGGAACCTGCTGTTGATTTCCTAATGGGGATGTGATGTAATACTGGAAAGCAGCCGAAGGGAAAGCGATAGGCTGACAAAGGGGGTGGCAGATGCCAGAGAGGGACATGCCTGCGGGCGGCAGGGAAGAGGTGGGGTCATCAGGGAGCAAAAGAGAGCACCGTACAAAGAGTGATTTCAGGGAGCGGGAAAGTGGCCAGACTGATAGAGGACACCAGGGTGCAGGGAAGCGATAGACCGCAAATCGGGAAACGGCGTGACATCTGGCGTGCAGAGCCGGCAGGGGGCAGAGCAGGCAGGGTGTCACGTGGAGTGGGCGCTACGGGAGCCGAGAGGGTTGCGTGCAGACAGAGGGGGGTCTTTACCACCGCCTGAAATGCTGCGGTACTCACAGGAGTCGCGGACTCTTCTTGCCCTGAACTGGAGACGGGGCCTTCGCGGCCTGGGACTGCTGCCCTGGGGCGTCGAGAGGCCTGGCGCTGGGGCTGCTCCTCCGCCGGCGGGGATACTCGGCCTTCCTCCGGCGGGACACAGCGGCGGCGGCGGCGGCCGCAGCGGCTCGGCCTCGGTCCCGACCTCCCCTCAGCACGCGGCTGCTCGTGGTCCCCGCAGGCGCCGCCGCCGCCACCTCAAGGGGCCGTTGTTGGGGCTCCTCTGGAGCCGCCTTGGCCGCCGCCGCCTCTCCCCCTTCCTGGTCCTGCTGCTCCGGGGGTCTCGGCTCTTCCGTCTCCCCCGGCATCGGGGCTCGTCCGTCCCCCACCCCCTCGTTCCAGGCGGTGGAGGCGGAGGCGGCGGCGGCCGCGACGCTGCTCCCCCCGCCCCCCTCGCCTCCCGGAGCGTCCGGCTCACTCTCACCCTGAGCTCCTTTCCCCCCTCCCCTCCGCCCGCTCCGAGGATACCCCCCCGCCCCCTGCCACTCAAGACCCGCTACCGCTGACGGCACGCGCGCGCGCCCGCCACAAACGCTCAGCGGACCAATCGGAGAAGAGGATCGGCCTCCCTGCCCGTACTCCCGCGGTCCCTAACGCAGCGACGTACTAAGTTCCCGCCCCCAACCCCTCCCTCAGCCAATGAAGAAACAGCTCCAAGGGAGCGCGCGAGGTTTCCTTCCCCGCGCACCCGTTCTCACCGTTAAACGGCTGCGTCTCGCGACAATCACAAAGTGACCTTTTCCCCCCCTCCGGAGTTCAATGCGCGCTAGGGGCAGTGGGAGAGGTAGATCTAGGGAGGGAGGCGGGTGGTTAGAAAAAGTACCTCTTTCTCCGCCTTGCGCGCGCCCGGGACTAGCTGCGCGCGCACCTGCCTCCCTAAGGAGCCGCAAGTGCCACAAGAGCTGTTTCTAAGCTTCCTTAAACCAGAGAAGTAGCTTGGGCGTTCTGCCGCCTCCACCCCTACCCCACTTCCCTGTCTCTGTCCTTTCTGTCCCCAACGCCACCAGGTCTTGCGGGGAGAAGGGGGAAATTTTTTTGAGCTGTCGCTTCTCCTTTAAGAAAAAAATCCCCGTCGGCTGCCGGATGAAAGTCTCCGAAAAAATGGCGGCGGTAGGTCGGAGGCGGAGTAATGTGGACCCGCCTCTTGACGCATGCGCATGGATAATTTGGCCAAGGGCATCCTGGGAAATGAAGTCGTACTTACCCTACGCTTCAAGAAAAATGATAGGAAACCAGAGGCGGAGAGGATGCTGGGAGTTTTTGACCAAGTCACGATGGGAAAGGTAGTTTGCTTTTTCCGGAGGCAACGTTTCCGGGTTAGGCCGGGACGCCTGCCTACATCCGGGCTCAGCTGAGCCGGTTGCTGGAAGGCTTGCCCGGAAGGCTATCTCCCAGTTCTTGGTACTTTCTTGGCGTTAGCGTATCTTTTCCGGAGTGGCCATATCATAATCCTTATTTACTTTGGTTGGTTCAAATGACGCTTATCATGGGGCCGGCCAGCGTTCATTTTATATTATTCGTCTTGTCTTCCTGTGTCTGACCCGCTCTCCTGCCAGCCCTTGGAGGTCAGGGAGCGAATCGGCGTCCATCGGGTCTGCAGGGGCCTAGCAATGCCCCACTCATTTCAGTTTTAATAAAATGTGTGGAATTCATTATAAAGTGGCTTTGCTGCCAGATGTTGAGGCGTCAAGGAGCTGGCGTCACTGCCTGGCTTGGCTGTGGTCCCTGAGCTGGAGAGAGACATTAGCGTGACTTTTAGTGACCTCGGAGAAGCTAAACTCCCCACCCGGAAGTTTGAGGTTTATAAATGTTACTGCTGCACAGGAAGCACGGTCGGGACCGCAGCTTTGTCAGAAGTTATTTTTCTGCTCGCTAGCGTGTGCAAGCAAATTGTTTTCCTGATGCGTCAAAAGGGAGTTTCCATTGATGATCTTCAAGTTGTAGTCATTAATGCCATGGTCCTCTCCCATTCCTTCCCTTAATCCCTAATAATCAAGGAACGATTTGCAAGAATAGTTCTTTACCTCTGGAAAATAAAGTATCCTGGGTTAAAATCCTGAAAAGGAGGAAGATGGAAAGAAGATTTGGGGATTCAATTCCAAATTTCTCTTTAATCATTAAATTGAACTGCAGATAACTGCTGAAGTACATTTTTTCTTTCCAGTATTTTACTTACCACTTAAGATTAGGCAAATGTTTTATATTCACTACGGAGTGTTTTGCACTTTGATAGAGCTAATGTCATTTCCAGTTGTAAAAACGTTTGGCATATTGTCATTGGGGGATTTTTCAGTATTTGCAGTGAGCAGACTTTTAAAACAGCACTGACATCCAATGGCTGCATAAAGTAATACAGAGAAATATCTGTTTTCCAAAAAAAAAAAAAAAAAGACAGTGGAATGATTCCTTAAACAAACAAGCAAAAGACCACTGTGTTTTAGAAGAAAGATCATGGGCTTTGACCTAAAATGTGGATTATTGTAAGTAGAAATGCTACCCTAGTCTGTTATAAATTACGATTCCTTGAACCTACTTCACTGCTAAAAACTGGGTAAAATGTATTTTAAGAGGCAATTATTACAGTTCCTTACTGCCTGATGGTAGGCCTTTGGTAAATGTTTTATTTCACCCGATTGAATAAAATAACAGTGATAAAAAAAATTAATCCCAGTGTCAGTTAAAAAAAATACTGCTACAGGGTAATATCACTAGGGGGGAATTGTTTAATTCAAATGTCCACACAGTCTAGAACCTTGTATCTTAAACTTTCCAGTTTTATTTTTCATTACTTCATAGATGTTTGCATTTTGGACCACTGAATAAGCCAGTGGCCAAGAATCCAACTTCTGCCTTGCTTTTTAAAGGACTTACAAACTATACAGGAAAGCAAGTAAGTTTAATTTATGAATAATTTAGTAAAGAATTTGGTGTTAGTTAATGCTGATTGAAATTTTAAGGTGGCTGTGCCTCTATGGTCCCTCAGCTTCACAGAAAAAAAACAAAAAAGAGCAGTTTCTTAGTAACATGAGTTATCTATCTACACTTGGGGAAAAAAACCCACAAGTGTATACCTGCCATTCCCATTAGTTCAAGATGAATTTTGGCACATAGCAGGTGTTCAAAATTAGTTTTGAATCTTTATCACCCTGACCAATGAACTACCAAAACTCAAACCTTCCAACCTGCTTCCTATGTCGGTCCCATTTTAAAAACTGTGACCTACAAGAAAAGAAGAAATTCACCAAATCAAAAGAGAGGAAGTGTTAAGCAAATACAGGAACCAAAAAAAGTTGTAGAGGCTGCTTTAGACGGTCTCATTTAGTTCCTTTGTGGTCCTCTTCTTCACCACATGCCAAAGCAGTTCTTCACAACCTGTGAGACCAGAGCATCTTGGGTGTGGAACAATGGAAGAGCTGGGTGAGTGAGGAGTGTCTTGGAGGAGAAACGGAGAGGATGAAGACTTGGCCACCATCTCCATGTATGGTGGGGTGTATTTGCAGTCAGACAGGGAATAGTGCTGGAAGATTTTTTTCGCATCTATCCTCAATCCATACAAGAGTGAGCATGAGGAACTATGACTGGGGCAACAGTAAGTTCACTGTTTGCAGTGGCACAATATGCAGAGAGTTTGGTGCTTACTACAGTGTGAACTCTGGGACAAGTACTTCTGGACAGATTTGTGACTGAAATTGTCAGTTTTTATTGTGGGCTTTTCCCTTTTGGGGACTGCTGGAGATCATAGGGTGACTACACAGCTAGACAACTGCAGAGATGTGATTTGTGGAGAAACCATGTGAAAGGAAGAAAATGGGGGGAGATGGTGTTATGAGGAAGAGAAATGAGGTAGAAGTACAAGAAAAAAGGATCTGCAGAGGTTGGAGAAAGGCCAGAGTGGTTTTATTTGTTCTGTGGCACAGTATTAAATCAAGAAGACATAGTACTGTAACTACAGTGATTTTGTTGGTAAGCTTTTTATTCAGAGGAATCCAGAAGGAGTAGATTACTGTGGCCTGAAAATATAATACTTCCTCCTTACACTTTGAGGCAAGTAAGTAAAATGGGCAGTGGAACTAATTTCAAGCTTTGGAGTAATGCAAAGTTTTTCATTCTTGGTACTCATTCAGTAGACTTTGCCAACCTTTTTTTTTTTTTTTTTTTTGCGGGGGGGGGGGTATTGCAGCAGTCTCCTAATATTGAGCCACGAACTTGTACCAAGGTTTCAAGCTGTATTAATTCTTCAGTGTTCAGGATTTGTGTGTGTTCACAGATATGTCAAAAGTGCAAACAACAACCATAAATGAGATATCTTGTACAATTTCTTTAAGAAAATGTTGGTTGGAGTGTGATTTCAGAGCTGGAGAAAGAGGAAGGAACAAGAACAAATAACAGGAGGGGAGAAATGTTAATGAAAAGAAAAAAGTTTTTGAAGTAAAGTCTATTTTGATACTGCAGATTGACTTTTTTAAAAAAAAATTCTAGTACTGGGGTTTGAAGCTGGAACTCTCTACTATTGAGCTACATCCTCAGCCTTAAAAAAATTTTTTTTTTTTTTTTAAAAGCAGAATCTGGATAAATTGCTGAGACTGTCCTTAAACTTAGGATCCTCCTGGCCTCAGCCTCCCAAGCCATTAGAATTACAGGCCTACAACACCACACTTGATAGGAGGTAGCATATTTTGAACCTGGGATAGAATACAAATTCTTATGAATTGTGAGTGTTGGGAGAATTTGCATTTCTGCCTGAGTCCCATCAGGTTTTCTTTTTTTAAAGGGTACCAAATTTCATTAAGATAATCAAAGGAAACTAGTACTTATTCAGTGACATTGGCTTAAACTAGATGATATTGTAAATCATTTTAGTATTTGCAGCAATCCTCTGAAATAGATATTATCTACTTTTTTTTCAGGTAAAAAACCATAATAACTTGTTCAGTGTTACTCCCAGGAGCATCTGATACCAAAACCAATTAAGCCGCAAGGTGTTCTCCTGTACTAAAATTGTGTTAGTTCAGGTATTCTGGTCAATGAAATAACCCCATTAAGAAATTGTGTAGTTTTGCATTTACTGAGCAGGATGGATGTTAAAGAAATCTTTTTGAGAAATGTAGAAAGTACCAGGTAGCCTGGAAGCTAACATGTACAGATTATCCAGTGGGCTATTGATGGCTGTACCCCATCAGTTTCTTCAAACTGTCATCAGCTCCATAGTTACCCCAAGAATGTTTCCCTCCCGCTTCAGCAAAGGAGTACCGTTGAGAATAGTGTGACTTAGGTGAGCAAATCTTTCCTCTCTGCAGTACTGCCTTAGAGGTTAGGAGTTTGTAGCCCCATAGGTTTTACCTAAATCCTCATTACACAAGAATGGTAGATAAAAAGAACCAGGAGTATTATGGATCATTTCATTTCAACCTTGGGAGACCCCCAGGATCCCTCACTGCATTCCTTCCATATAAATGTAGGTACTGATTTCCATGGAGAAGCACTAGGGAGAGGACTGAAGAGTTTTCAGTCTAGTACCTCCCCACACCCAATAATCTCATCTGTCATACTGAAATGAGTCATCTTCAGATTACAGAATCTGGCAAAAGGCAGAAACTCTTCAGGAAACAGGAAGAGAAAGCCTTGTTAACTCATGACTCAGGAGAGTTTTCGTGACTTTTGATAGCTGATGCTTCCATGCGCTTCACAGTATGGTCTCCCGCTTCTTGCAATTTTTACTGTAAATGCGTTTTATTAATCTAGGAAGAACTTTGACTTCTGGTTGTAGCAAAGCTTAGTAGAAAATTAAAAAGAGGCTATATTTTAATATAATAAACGATTGCAATTCTGAAATTTAGTATTGAGTCTGGCTAATGAAATTCTGAGACAAAAAGTTTTACTTCTCTTTCTTAATTTTCTTTTTCTTTGTTCTTCTTTAAAACCTTTCATTATAGGCTGGGCATAGTGGCCTGTAAATTCCAGGAGGCTGAGGCAGGAGGATGTCAAGTTGGGTGCCAACCTGAGCAACTTAGCAAGACCATGTTTCAAAATAAAAACCAAAAAGGGGTGGGAGTTGAGCTCAATGATAAAGCACCACTGGTACTAGACACACACACACACACACACACATACATACACAGACAAATAAAAACCAAAAATCTTGCATTATAATAAGGGAATTTTTAAACATGCAAAGGTAGAACATACATAATCAATTTTTATATACATATATATATATATATATATATATATCCACCTATTCCTTCCATCTCTGTATCATTTTAAAGCTACTTCTCAGATTTCATCTGTAAATACTTCTGCATTAATTGCTAATGCAAGGGTATATTTATACCATAAGACCAGTATTACACTCACAACAGACTTAATAGTGATTTCTCTCAATATCATGAAATATCATTATCACACCTAAAATTAACAGAAATCACTTAATATTTTCAAAACTATCACACCTAGAATAAACTAACTGTATTTATTGACTATTCAGTGTTCAAAAGTGTATAAAAGTTTAGTGTTTTAAAGTGTACTTAATGATTAAATAGGTATCATATATTGAATTTAAGTCTTTTTTTTTAATTTATTTTTTTGGTACTGGGAATTTGAACTCAGGGGTACTTGGCCACTGAGCCACATCCCCAGCACTATTTTGTATTTTACTTAGTGATAAGGTCTCCCTGAGTTGCCTTATATCTTGCTTTTGCTGAGGCTGGCTTTGAACTTTCGATCCTCCTACCAGCTTCCCAAGCCGCTGGGATTACAGGTGTGTGCCACTGAGCCTGGCCCTTAAGTCTTTTTTAATCTCTAGATATCCCTGCTATTTTTCCCATTACTTTATTCTTGAAGGGTAATTTGACCACAAGAGTTGATGTCATTTTTCTTATTTATAAAATGGTGCATGAATGTCAAAATTTTGTGGTATGCATGATTGAGAAAGTTCCACAGAATTTTTTGTAAAATACGATTAGATCTTTTCTTATGCCTTTAAGAAATATCCGTACTCCGCAAATCTGACATAAATGAAAATCAGTGTTTATTAATTTGAATGAACTGTGAAGTTCATTTTCTTTATTTGAGAACTTCAGAGTTAGGAAGGTTCTTAGAAATAATATAATTCATTGCTTTACAAACTTTAACTTGTGGTTAAAAAAATTCACTAGTAATCCACTAATGAGTCTTGATGCACAATTTGAAAAATATTGTTCTATCCAACTACTTCTTTATGTAGATGAGGAAACAGCTTCAGAGACAATGTCTTGCTCAAGAAGACCTGAAGAATCCATGTGAGAAGTGGGGACTATGACCTCCAACTTTGTTTGGGGGCTGGAATCAGATAGCCCAGATTCAAGTCCTGGTTCTGCACTTATGCTGGTTATTTTGTCTCTTTTTTAATCTTAAAACTAAGGGCAATAATATCATCTGCCTCAAAGTGTTATGACAATTAAATGAAATGTGTAAACTTCTGAGCACTGTGGCTGGTGTGTGTTAATTTTTATTAATTATTATTAATTTCATTACAACAGAAAAGTGCTAGTATAATGATTATAAAGTTTTCCCAAGAAAACTACAAGAGAAACAAGTCCCAACTATTTGAATTGCAACATCTTGATTTTGCATTATCTGTCTTCTCTTCAACTTCTGATTCTCTCCACACCCTAAAAGAATACTTCCACTTTGTTTTGAGAATTTTTTATTTGCTTGGAATCATTCTTGAAATTTAAAATAACAACAGCAAAAAAATCACCAGGGTTAAGAATGTGTTATTTCCCTGGTATTTTTAAAGATGTTTATAAAATTGCTTATATTTTTCTGATAAGAAACATATTTAGGTCTGTCTTTATATTTAGGATTATCTTTTCCTAATTGAGGATCTTTGTGGGTGGTCTGCCCTAATGAATGAATAAAATGAATACTTGCAATATAAGAAGTCAGAGTATAGAGTGAGACTATGATATTGAATGCAACCATAGGAAATAAGAAGCCAGAATATAAGGAGGCATTAACTATCTCCTGGTATAACAGGTCACAGTGTAAGTGAAATAAGGAGGAAGGGAAGGTGTTTGAAAATAACTTTATCCAAGAGAAGAAGGAGATGAATGGGGACACTGGTTAAAGAGAAAATAATTCTGGAGACTTATTCTATGTTATAATTTTCTTATTTCTTATATAGATGCTTTATTGGAGGAATTGGAACGCTCCACCCTCCAGGACAATGATGAATATTCTAACCCAGCTCCTCCTTCCCTGGATCAGCATTCCAAAAAGGAGAGTAACCTTGCTGAGGCTTCAAAGATCCTGCCCCATCAGGGTAACGCAAATCCCTCCTCGGTAACTTTTCATTTATTCTAGTACCTTGAATGTACAAGTTGCTGGCTCTTAAAGCTAAGAACTCAAGCACAAGCAGTCAGGGACAGCTGACTTCTCTGATCTTAGGTGGTAGCAGGAAAATTTGCAAGGTCTTTCTCCCTGTTGGCCACTTTGTATACCTGCTCATGCCCTGCCATTGTCCATGTGGTTATATGTGACATGCACAGAGCCACCTCGGAGTCAGTAAGAAACATGTGAAGTTGTGGCTTAATGTTATACAAATGATGTTTAGGAAATAGAAGTGAAGCATTCTTGTCATAGAGTATAGTGTAATCTGAATATTCTTTCTAGTGCAGATTATTTATTTGCTTCTGTCAAGCTCTAAGGATTTGCTTTATTGTTTGGCAACACTTTTTTAACTTTACAACAAAGCCTTTTAGAAGTTAGCTTAAATGAAGCCAAAACTTACGGTTTCGTTTGCTCAAAGAAGCTGTTAATAGTGTGACTTACACAAAATATTTGTCAACATTTACCAAATCCACGATGGGAGCAAGTAGAGATATCATTGTCCTTTTGAAAACCAAAAGGCACAAATATGGTGGAGAAGAATTGGCATCTACTTCAAAAGTTAAGACAAATTTAGACAATTAAACATGCAGCTGCTCTAGGAGGTGTGTTTACGTGTCAGTGTGAAGCACACCTTTCCCTTTGTATCAAATGACTCTTCTAAATCAAGTTTACTCATTTCCATTCCAAGTTTTCTTGTGCTTGTACTTGAAGTGGTGATATTTCCCTTTAAAAACTGTCAAATAATGTCAGTTTTATATCAATATTATCAGATGTCCCCACTAGAAAATTTGTTAATTACAAAAATGTTTTGGTTGTATTTCATCCAGTTCAAAGGATTAGATTATGTGGAAGTTCATTCTCTAGTTTTAAAAAAAAGGAAACATCTGATGTTGCTAAGGTTATCATAAGTTTAATTGAAAAATTTGACACTGAAGATAAAATATTGTTTTTTGTGGTGATAATATAAATACAAATGTTGGTGAAGCACAGCTTTGTGGTAAAAAACAATATTCTTACTAACTCAAAACCTATGGAACAGAAATGTACTCAGAATTACTTTTGATGTGCACAAAACTCAGGATTGCATCCAAACAAAATTCAAAGTCTACCAATCAATATGGAAACCAAAATTTTTCAAATTTACAAATATTAGTATATATACATGGAGTTTATAAGTAACTGATGTAGAAAACATGTGACAGAAGCTGATACTGAATATAAGGACACAATTTTACATGGCTGTATATATTTCCTCGCTGTCTTGCCTGTCACCCTTCGATTTAGAAATGTCTCAGTTCATGAAGTAACCCAGATTTAGCCTGTGTTATGCTCAACTCAGGGAGATCCTATTTCAAAATGAAAAAAAAAAAAATAGAAAAGGCTAAAGATGTGGCTCAGTGTTTAAGTGCCTCTGGGTTCAATCCCTGGTATTCCTCCACTCCCCAAAAAGCAAGAGTTTGAAATCTTAAATTATTCAGTGAATATAGCATTAAAATTCTGCTTTTGAAGCTTTTAGGGAGTAATGAGTTTGAAAAAGATGCAGCTTAGATTTCTTGCTGCAAAAGCTGAGAATTGAACAAATCTAAAGATGAGAGTTCAATGGTTTAATTACTAATTTGAAAATTGTGCTTCTGAAAAAATCAGATTTTGATCCCTATTTTAATTGAATAAATTTATATTCTCCACCGAATGAAATAAAATTGTCAAAGTATATCAAAGTTTTGGCTTATAAGAATATTATTGAAGAAAGGTACTCTGAAAGAGAAGCAGAAAGGCAGCACCTGTGAAAATATTGTCCCAAAATATTTACACATTTCAGCATAAAAAATAGAATTGAGAATATTTTCCATTTAGCAGAATTTGCTCTGAATGTACAAATTCACAGTAAAGGTATCTTCAAACCAGTTAAAAACATTATGGTCTACAAGCAGGCATAAATTAAAACTATCAGCAATTCAAATATATTAACCATAAAATTCAGCCTTGAAGGAGATTTCAATTTTGTGAGAACGATAGCACCATATTGAAAGGAATATATTTTCCAAAAAAATTTTTATATCACAATGTCAGAGACAGCAATGCTAAGAAACTGATTAAGGTTTGTGACCATATATCAAGAATAATTAATTTACTTGTGCTATTTAAATGTTCAGATGAGTTTTTAAACTTGCCCTAATGTTTGTAAATATAGTCATTTAAAATATTTTAGAAAGTTTTATTTAGAAAATGAGTATTCAGTAGAATTATTTTGTAGGTTCACCAATATAATAAAAATTAAATTTTTGATAAAAATACATATTTCAAAAATTATATGTGAATTGTTTTTAGAACTCCCTTTTGCCCTCAAAAGTGTCCCACTTTGAACAGTAGGTTAAATTGCCACTCTGTATGCATGATCTTGCCCCTTTTTCCCTGGCGCCCACTCCTCAGGACACAAGATGCTCCAGAGTGTTTTTTATAGTCATTGCTTCCACATGAATCATGTTACCACTAATATATGTGTATTTTTCTCATCTTAGTTCTTGCTCAAGCACCTCTACTCAGTGATTACTTGATTAATATAGTTATAACTGCAATCTCTCCCCTACTTTGCATCTTGCACCCCCTGCTTAACTTTACTTATTAATTTGTTATCAGTTTCTTACCACCAGAAGCAGGACATTCAGTTTTATGTGATTGTTATGTTTTGTTTTTTGACCTGCTATATCCTCTGTCTTGGTACATGACAGATACTCAGTATTTATTTAGTGAATCACCATGGATTCACACGTATTTCTTTTCCAATGTCAAGTTTGATTGTGTTGTAGCTTATACTCTCGGCACCATCCTGAGTGGTTAAATAAAGGGGCTTTACTCTTGCCCTTCTGTTTGTTTTATGGTTCCTATGTGAGGAGGGTGTACTTCTCTATTTCATTGCTTTTCAGGCAGGGAGGGACTGCTAGTATTTGTTCTCATGCCAACTACTCTATAAAGTTTGGCCTTTCTCTACAGGAGGGTTGGTAATTCCTGTGTCTTAGGAAAGGAGATCTCAGTGATTTACTCTGATATTTCAGAACTATCAGTCCACTTTAATTTTTTTTGAGGGGGGATACTGGGGATTGAACTCAGGATCACTCAACCACTGAGCCACACTCCCAGCCCTATTTTGTATTTTATTTAGAGACAGGGTCTCACTGAGTTGCTCAGCGCCTCGCCATTGCTGAAGCTGGCTTTGAACTCAGTGATCCTCCTGCCTCAACCTCCCGAGCTGCTGGGATTAAAGGCGTGTATCAGCCCCCTTTAGAAGCAAAAAAACATCCTGTAACTCCTAATGTTGATAAGAACCAATATTTTAACAACAGAAATCATTCTTTGCTCTTCTTTGTCACTTATATATTTTAGGTGCAGCTTGTGTATACTACAAGTATCCAGGAGCCCAATGTCTACAGGTGGGTTTCTGTTTTTACTAAATATGTAAAAAACTAACGATATTAGGTAATAACTTTGATTTGTCACTCTTTGAGCAGTTGGTTTATAAGTGTCAATGGTTATCACTCCTCTACGCTCCTTCTTTTTCTCTTTGAGCAGATGTAGAACTCTGCTCAACTGACTTGGCAGATTCTCCAGGTGCCTGGCTTCAAGACAGGCTGTCCAGGCTTGTGGGCTCTGCTATTTCCTTTGCCATCTGAAAAAGTCTAAATAGTCCCAGAGTCACCACAGATGGTTTAGCTTGTCTAGTCCAGATATGTGCTGTAGTTCACATAAGAGAAAACATACCCAAGAAACATAAGGAAGATTCCAACAACATCAGATAGTGGGGCTCCATGGCAGACTTGAATATATACTTCTTTCTTGAATGTTTCTTCCAATTTCATTTAGCTGGTGAAAAGTTTCCTTTAGTGAAAGTTACATACTAAAACAGATTCACTTACTAAATCCTTTCTCCTGACACAAGCAGAATTGGTAGTCTGAAAAATTTTAAAGGCCATTTTTTGTTGTTGTTGTTCTCTCTTCAGTCATAGCTTGTAGTTTTTAACATCAGACAACTGTCTGGGAAACAGTTCAAAGGGCTTACAATATTAGATAGTAAAAACTCTTGCATGTTCTACTACACTATTTTGGTTTCAGAATCACAATCAGTAATACATTCACACAAGGCAAAGACAGCAGAAGGACTCAATATAAGAAGTCTTTAATAAAACTCCTCACTTGAGGGAATTTTCTATTTTGGTGGAGGTGAGGCCAGTTTATTAATGTATGTTTTGCCAGTTAGTTCTAGTTCCAGAAAATTGTGGGATGAGCTGTTCCCCTGACCTCCCCCTCCTTGCCCCAGTAAAAAAAAAAAAAAAAAAAACAAATGAAGCAAAACAATAAGAAAGTAGTGCCTGGTACACAAAAAGTTCTTAGTAAAATACTCGGTTTCTTAAATCCATGAAGGCAGGAAGGAAGGTAGAAATACAAGTGAACAAATACATAACATGAAAACCAGCTTGAGCAACACCAGTACTAACTTATCAACACCCCTTGCTCTGCATAGAATCCTTGGCCCATTCCCCCTCATTTCTTGCATATTACAAGGAGCTGACTCTGCAGTTCAGGCTTTCTTGTGACCAATATGAGGCACTGTGGAGAGACTGGGGGGTGCAAAGGAGGAAATCCAGGGCATTTGTCCCAGCTGCTGTCTTTCCATGGTATATCTGTCATCAGCTACATTTTTATGGCTTCAGCTGGAGCGTGACAGATCTGCTGTGGTTCCAGCTCATTGACCTGGGCCCTTGGATTCTGGCAGCTTTTCCTCTTTCCTTTATCCTTTTGGTTTAAGGCTGTGATGAATTCCTGCTGTGGCTAATCTCTGAGTTACCTCATTATCTTCTTTTGCTTCTTGGCTGTCCCATCACCTGTGTAATCAAGTTTCTGATTAAATTCCTTTTGTTTACTCACTGTGGTTTCTGTTTTCCTGACTGGACTTTGATACATTCCCTGTTCTGAATGATACTTGCTATGTAGGCATGTGTGGGAGAGTTATATAAAATCCACTTGTAAATATTTTATAGACTTTTGTGAATCCCAGAGGCAGTATAATTCAGAGTCAGGAATGCTAGCATGCATAGATAGAATGTTAGACTCAGAATCTTCATCTCTGCATGTTTCCACCATTTACTCTGGCTTGCTTCAGTGAACTGAATCTTGTTTTCAATATAACTTGAAAAAAATGTTCAATACCAGCTGTGAATATAGTAATGAAATAAAACAGTTGTACATCAGTAGTAATATGAGCAATAATTTAGAATTGTATGTTTTACATGAACAAAAATGATAATTTTGATAATAAAAGGGAGCGGCAATTCATAAAAATGGAACAGAAGAATAAATGGGAAAAACTCCAACACAATAAAACCCCTTCCTTAAGAAGTCCAGATTCTTTTAAATGTATGTCTTGTGATTTATGTTAATAAGATCTCTGAGTAATGAAATAAGTCATTTCTGGTGACATAGTCATTTTTGGTGACTTTTACTATCTTTAAAAATTCAGGGGACAATTCAAAGATTTGAGGTTCCTTTTTTTCTAGGAACATTTCCCTCAGTGGGCACTTTAAGAGTTGATGATTACAACTCTTCAAGGTCTTATTTCTTTTTTTCTTAATTTATCCTAATTTGTTATACATGATGGTAGAATGCAATTCATTTCATATTACCCATATAAAGCACAATTTTTCAAGTCACTGATTGTATACAAAATATTTTCACAACATTCATGTCATACATGTACTTAGGGTACTGATGTCTTAACTCATTCCACCATCATTCCTACCCCCTTGCAAGGTCTCATTTCTTATTTAGAATATTATGTGGTTGATTCATTTATTATTAGAGTATTATGGTAGTGATCTATTTCTTTTATATACTGCAGTAGGACTCCAGTTAAAAACTAGTGGGATTCTTTGAATAAGTACAAGTGATTAAGAATGGGCAGATCCTGATAAGAAACTACAATTTATTCTATGTTTGGACACAGAGCAGCAGGATGTGCTTCCCAGGAGCATGTCTGTGGTGACAAGTACTAAGGGATTATGACTGAAAGATTTTGAGGAAGAGCTCTGTATCAAGAAGAACTGAATCAGTCACTTATATACCTGACGATTCCTTCCTAGATTTAAAAACAAACAAACAACAAAAAAAAAACATTAGCATCTGGCAGAGGACCTTGCAGTACTTAAAAGACATTTTTTTTTGTTTTAAGAAAGGAAGATATTAATTTTCCTTTCATATTTTCCTTGTTAAATACTGAAAAATAAATAAGCCAGCGTTGGAACATGAACCCAAATGAGTCCTTTTTTCTTAAGAGAGAAGGGTAACATTTGCTTTTCTTGGCTGGCACATATATAATAATAAGTAAAGCAGTAAGGCTATGTTTTCATTCTTGAAATAGTTTTAGTGAAAGAATATTTTCTCTTGTTATGGTTTTACTCCTTTCTCTCTCTCTCTCTCTCTCTCTCTCTCTCTCTCTCTCTCTCTCTCTCTCATTAGTGTTGATTTGATGACTTATTAGCTAAGTTCTCTTGGTTAAGGTTTATTAAGAACTGATTCCAGAGCCAGTTATCTGTGATACCTTTTGACCTAATTTTTCCACTTCCTAAAATTAACTTTATGGAAATAATTGCAAATGGGTGTGAGTATTTATTTAACAGTATTGATTATATTAGCAAAAATGAGAAATATATGTGCCTAACAATAAACTTGGTTTGATAAATTATAGCACATTATATATTTGGAAATCATATAGCCTTTAAGCATTATTTTGGAAGATAGAGAACACAAACTTTGCAGCCTGCAGTCCCAAATTCTTATTTTTCACCTGTATTTTGTTGAGAAAAAATTTTATCTTCTTCTCAGTCTCAGTTTTTCTCCTCTGGGATGACAGTGCCTAGCAATTAAGGTTGTTGTAAAGATTTAAAGAGAACAAATGTTCTCTTTATTAAGGGTCAGTCATACTATTAGCACACAATAAATGCTAGCTGTTGTTATAGTTACAAAACATGGATAGATACGTGCATAACGTATGAATAGAATACCACTTAAATTGTCTAAAATGAGACAAAATTATAAAAAATTGCAATGATAGCTGCTAAAATGTACAAAATAATTGTCTCCTCAGAGGGGGTATATGTACGGTTTAAATTTTTTTATATTTCTTTTTAAGTTTTCTACATTGAAACAAAGTTTAAATAAGGATCTCCATACTGTGACTGTATTTATTTTACTGAAGATTGTTTAAACAATCATTATATATGAGAGTGTGTGTGTGTCTGTCTGTGTCTAGGTAACAAATGAGATACACCTGTGAGTTTCACTACAGCTGGCCCCATCTGCCACGTATACCACTTCATCTGTTGGCCATGTACATTACTGTTTTTCCTAGTATAGATGACCCTTGTTTTGTTTTGAAAATACAACTTAAGATACAAAAATATTTCATAAACTCATATGTGTAAAAAGTTAGTGGATTCCAAAATATAAAGGTTAAAAAGTCAGATACCCCTCTTCCCCTTGGAGTCTTTCTTCCACCAACTAATTACTAGCTTCATGGGTAACTGCTGGGAGGTATAGTATACCTCTTTACAGACTTTTGTGCATATATTCACACTTACTATATGTACTTCAAATTTATATGAATGAGCCAAGCACGGTGATGCATGCCTGTAATCCCAGTGGCTTGGGAGGCTGAGGCAGGAGAATCGCAAGTTCAAAGCCAGCCTCAGCAAAAGTGAGGTGCTAAGCGACTCAGTGAGACCCTGTCTCTAAATAAAATACAAAATAGGGCTGGGATGTGGCTCAGTGGTTGAGTGCCCTTGAGTTCAATCCCTGGTACCCCTGCTCCCGCAAAAAATCATCAACCCAAATTTATATGAATGGGAGGATACTTTTCATATTGTTCTGGGCTTTGCTTGTATAATTTAACAATATATCTTAGAAATCCTTTTTAGTTCATATAAAGCTATGTCTGCATTTTTTTTGGTGGCAGTATGCTGTAGCATGAATAAACCAAAATTTGGCTATAGCTCCATTTAGTTTATTTTCAGTTTGCTCAAAAAAACCTTATTGTAATAAATTCTTTGAACATATATCTTCATTTATATATGTATGTGTATTGCTCTTTTATCTTTGTGTATATTGTACATATATCCACCTCTGTCTGTTTGTCTGTCTGTATCCAATTTTTTTTTCTGTAGAATAGCGTCTTAGAAGTGAAATTGCTGAATTGAAACTTATATCTATTTGAAGAATTGATAGATGTTGCTTTGATAAGGTAAACCTATATAACTCATGGTGTATATGAAAACATATGTGTATGTATAATCCTGACTTTCCAACACTGCATGTTATTAAGGTTTTATAATTTTGACTAATAGATATAAATTTGTATTTCACTGCCTTAAATTGCTTATTTAAAGATTAATGAGATTAAGCATATTTTTACATACTGATAAACATTTATTTGAGTTTCTTTTTCTGAAACCTGCCTGTTTAAAAGCCTTTTGTTCAGATTTCTATTAGTTGGTGTTCTTATTATCAATTTATAGAAGTTTTACAAATTTTCAAATATTATGTATGTTTTAAATATTTACATGTATTTTTTTAAGATTGGTATTATCAGTATTTTTTATTTTTTGACTTCACTCCAAAGTTTTATGCCTTTCTTAGAAAAGATTTCATCAACCCTAAATGCCAAAAAAAGTCTCCATTTTATGGTGGTATTTTTAGGCTAAGGTATCTTTGGTATCTTGTTGGGCATGGTGGCACACGCCTGTAAACCCAGCAGTTTGGGAGGCTGAGGCAGGGGGATTGCAAGTTCAAAGCCAGCCTCAGCAACTTAGTGAGGCCCTCAGCTACTTAGCAAGACCTGTCTTAAAATAAAAAATAAAAAAGACTAGGGATGTGGCTTGGTGGCTGAGTGGCTGAGTGCCTGTGGGTTCAATCTTCAGAACCAAAAAAAAAAAAATGTATTTTTAATTTGTCTCACATTTACTCAGCTATATGGTGTGTGGGGGTTCTAAATTTATTATGCTCCAAATACCTTGTTATTCCTGAGTCCAATAGCCTATTTCTGATTATTTGAAATACCACATTTATCATATAGATGTAAGATCCTGTTTCTGGGTTTTACAGTCTTCTCCTTCATATTTCTTTATTTCTTAATAAATATCACACACATTTAATTACTGTCACTTTATTTATTCATTTATTTATTGAGCGACCAAAAGATCTTTATTGCAGTGGTGTCTGATTTAACAGAGAAGGAAGAGAAAAAGAGAGAGGAAAGAGAGAGAGCAGGGAAAGAGAAGAAAGAAAGAGGGAGAGAGCAAAATGAGAGAGAGAGAGAGAGAAATTACTATTACTTTATAAGATGTTACATTTATTGGAACAAATTTTCCTTCTTTAACTCATTTTTTTTAACTTTCCTTGGGTTAGTTCTAGCCCTGAGTTTTAGCATCTGTTTCATAGCTTGAATAATTCTATTAGGGTTTTATTTGAATTAATTAATTGAAGGAAAGTGACATCATAGCATGCATTTCTGCTTGTGTGGGTATTTTTTAAAAATAATTGTTATAGTGAATATTTAAAGCTCATTATGCATGTTGATGCTGTGGGTACATATAGATAGTAAAATGATTACTTTAATGATGCAAATTAACATACCCATCATCTTATGATTATTCTTAAATTTTTGTGGCAAGAGCAGATAAAATTTATTCATTTAGTAGGAATCCCAAATACAGTACCTATAGCACTCATGTTGTACATTAGTTCACTAGACTTGTTTGGGATACACATCAATTTTGTAATCTCTGACCTAATTTCCTCATTTCCTGTCCCCTACCTCACTCATGACAGCACTTGTTTTATTTTGTTTCTATATATTTGATTTTTTTTCAGTTTCCACATATAAGTGAGATCATGCAATGTTTTCTTTTTGTGTCTGTCTTATTTCACTTAGCATAATGTCCTCCAGATTCATCCACATTGTGGCAAGTGGCAAGAACTCCATCTTTTCTAAGGATGAATTATATTCCAGTACATATCTATTTGTATGTATGTACATATGTATGTATGTGTCTTATCTACCTACCTATTTCATTTTAAGTGTTTATCAACAGACACTTTGGTTGTTTCCATATCTTGGGTATTCTGAATAGTGCTGTAAAGAACATGGGAGTGCAGATGTCTTTATCAGGTGGTGATTTCATTTCCTTTGTGTATCTGCTTAGAAAAGGGATTGCTGGATCATATGCCAGCAATTTTTAATGGTTCTATTTTAACCTCCCCACTCTTTTGCTCCATGACTGCACCAATCTACATCCTTACCATTTTCCCCAATATTTATCTTTGATGTTTTGATAATAGGCATCCTCCAGGTATGAGATAGCATTTCATATAACTTGGATTTGCATTTTCCTGATGTTTAATCATGTTGAGCACCTTTTCACATACTCTTTGGTCATTTGTATGTCTTCTTTGGAGAAATGTCTATTCAGATCCTTTGCTCATTTTTTAATCATATATGTGGGTCTTCTTTTATGTCTTCCAGTGTTTTTCTTCATAGAAATCTTACATTTTTGTTAGATTTATTTTTTAATATTTTGTAATTTTGTCTTGGTATTATTTAATTTTCTAATTGCTTAGTGCTGGTTGATAGTAAATACATTCTTTCATTTTATTCTTGTATATAGTAATGGTTCCGGTGTTTTGTCTTCATTCTGATAGCTGTTCAATCACTTTTTTTTTACATTCTCTAGGTCAGTGATCATATTACCTATCTTAAAAGAAAATAAAAGTGAGAGTGCTTTGCTTTTTTTCTTCAAATACTGTTTTATTTTTAATGTATTTGGTAATGCATTCTGGAATAATATTGAAAATAAGGAATAATGGTAATATTGGTGTTCTGCTTATCTCTTAATTAAAATGTGTTTTGTATTTGATGAGTAAATATGGAGGCTAGTATATATTTCTTATAGATACATTTGATCAGGTTAAGGACTTTTTCTTTTTTTCCTTAATCTTCAACAATAGGAATGATCATTAAATTTGATTTCTACTGCTTTTTCAGTATCTAACGACATGTTTAGAAAGCTTTTCTCTTATTTGTTAGCATAATGAATTATATTATCCCTTTCCCTAATCTTGAACCCTTCAGGATGATTGACATAAACACTACTTAGCCGTGATTGTTTAAAAAACATATTTCTTTTGTTTGTTTCTTATACTAGGGATTGAACCTAGTGGGGCCTAACCACTGAGCCACATCCCTAGTCCTTTTTATTTTTTATTTTGAGACAGAGTCTCACTAAGTTGCTCAGAGCTTCACTAAGGTGCAGAGACTGGCTTTAAACTTGTGATCCTCCTGCAGCCTCCTGAACTACAGGGATAATAGGCATGTGTCACCAAAGCAAGCTCTGCTATTGTCTTTAAGATTCCTCTTTCACACACAATGCTCTTTCTTTATCTAATTTTAGTATCAAGTTTCTGTAATATTCATAGAATTAATTGGGTAATTTTCCATATTTTTCTTTATACTTGGAAGTTTTGTACAATATTCCCCAAAAGCTATCAGGTTTTTTTTTTCCTTGTTTGTTTTCTGCTTCATTAATTTAGGCTTTAACTCCTGCTTAAGTATTTTAGGAGTCTTTTTTTAGAGCCTTGAGTTAAAAATTTTATTTGTGATCTCTCTTATTTTTCAGTATTTGACTTAACTACATTCATATATTTTTCTTTCAGTGACACTTTGTTTTCAACTCCGAGGGTGTGTGTGTGTGTGTGTGTGTGTGTTTTCTCATTGCTATTTATAAATTATTTGAACATTCAGTTTTAATTATTTTTTAATCATAATAATTATATAGAAGTACTCTTCTGTTTCTTAAGTAGATAATTTTTGCTTAATTTGTACTTGAGCCTTATTTTGATTCCTCATACTTGGTTAATTTTACTAATGATTATGCAGTTACTTAAATAGCTCCTATATTCTATTTTTAGGCTAATGTTTTATTTGTTTCCAATTATCTAAATATGGAATCACCATGATGTACATTATCTCAATTTTCCATACCAAGGATTTGCAAAATTTTTCTGCAAAGAACCAGGAATTAACATGTGAGGTTTTTGTGGACTAAAGGTACCTGTAGCAACTACTCAGCCTTGCAGAGAATACCTGTAGGCAGCATTGGTTGGACATGGTCAGAATTAGCCCATGGACCTTAACTTGTTAATGCCTGCTTTATATTCTTATTTATTTATTTATTTATTGTTGTTGGACAGTACCTGAGGGGGGAGATATAGTACCTTATAATTTTTAAAAATAATATGACTAAAAAAAAAATAAAAAAATAAAAATAAAAATAATATGACTAAAAATTAAAAATGTATGGCTATGGTTTTAAAGCTTTATTTAGTGGCTGCTTGGTACATCATAGTTGGGGGAAAATACCCTCTCAGTTACATGTTAAGCCCTTTCCTTTACACACTTGAAAACATCATTTTTTGAGATGACTAGGGACAAAAAGCATAGAGACCTTGTTCAGATTTTTAATCGAAGAGCTATTTTTTGATTATTTTTTTTCTGATTTTAGATTTATGCCTAAGGGGTTAATAGTTAAAAGTGCATTTTGTGTGTGACTTAACATTTATTTGAATTTTGATAAGTTTATATGATTTTTTTCTCTCTTTCTTTATAGTGAAGTTCAAGAGCCAAAGGAATCACCACCACTTCCTAAAACTTCAGCAGCTGCTCAGCTGGATGAACTCATGGCCCATTTGAGTGAAATGCAGGCCAAGGTGGGTGCAATCTGGATGAGCTAAGTTCCTTAAAGATAAAGGAGGCCCAGAGAAGCACAATTCTTTGAGGAACTCAGTTCTGCCTTCCTAGACTAAATTCAATTCATGGAGAAACTCAAATTTGTACTATGTGTTATTTGGAAACAAACGATAATATGGTGCAGGCTTTGATATCAAGGAGCTTGGAATATGCTTGGTAAAATGAGGCATAAGCCTCTATAGAGTAAAAGGTGGTTTGCCAAAATATGTGGAGCAAACTTTAGGGATTTGGCGAGGCTACTCAGATTTTACTGGAAAGGTGGGGATGGAACTTGGGGCTGACTCTGAAGAAGGGGTGGGGTTTGAGCATAAAGAGATGAGATGAGTAGTACTTTCATTTGCAACAGGCCCAGAGGGCATATGTATCTAAGAACTGTTAGGGAGACCTGACTGAGCAGGACAGAAGAGGCCAATGAGACAAGGCAGGGGAGATCAAAGTAGGAAGATAAAGAATCCCAAGCCCATATTGAGATAAAACCTACCATCTTATTTTTGCCTATAGAACATAAATAACAAGCTCACATGTCCTGGAAGAGAATGGAAATCAAATAAATGGACTTAAGAATTTATTAAAGGAATATAATATAGAATATAATATAGAATATAATATAGAATTCGTAAGGTAGAGGATTCAACCACTCTAAATCTGGTTGGAGAGTTGATATACATTCAAGACATAACTATGAAAAAAATTTAAGGCATTAAAAATGTGTGTAATTGGAGAGGTCAGGGACCTTATCTCTGTGACTGACCTGGGGACTCATAGTGCCCAGCACATTGCTATGCCTGGCACATAGTAAGTAACACATATTTATCAGAGAGACAAATGAATGAACATTCCAAGCAAACTTTCTTTAATAAGTTAATGTTCTTTGATTAGCTAATATCTGTAGTCAATCTGGGTAAACTGGCTCATTATGCTGTATATCTGAAAATGCTAGAAAAAATTTACATTATGATATTGTGTTTTGTGATTGATTTGGCATGTTTCTTGTTAAATTTAAATTTAAATTTAAAATATTTGTTTTTAGTTAAACCTTACATTCACGTTGTACAAAAATCAAAAGTACAAACAAGTTTACATTAAACTATTTTCCTGTTATCTTTGTCTCTCCAGTCATCTAGTATCCTGCTTTTTATTTATCTAAAAGTATTCTGGAATATACACACAAGAGGTAGATACAGATGTAGATACAGCTATACTGTGGCTTTTTAATTTTAGTTATTTTTATTCTTAATATTGGTCACCCTTTCAGGGCCTTCAGATGTTAGCCTTACTTACCTCTTGAACATTAAGCAGCATTATGTAATAGAGGAAAAAGGAAATTAGCATTATTATTGGTGAAATAATATGAGGTTATTCCAGGCAGCAAAATAGAATAAGTAGAGATCTGAAGGTAGAGAGTAACCATCAAGATCAGAAGACCATAGGAGCCTGCTGGCATTGAACAAAGAGGCCTTTTGCTGCATAATAAAAGGTAGATTGGAAAGGTAAAGTGAAGGCAATAGATGAGAGGCTTTGAATGTCCTTCTGATGAGTGCACATTTGATGTGGAGGCAAGGGAGCCATAGTAGCTTCTGATCAGCTAAGCATTAATAGAAGGTAGTGGTAGCCCAATTGGAAGGGAATAGGACAATGCAGGACGTAGTGGTGTAGTGGTGAGAGACAAGTTAAATATCCTTTTTTTTAAATTTGAGAATCTCCTGTTGCTTGGCTTATAATAACTAACTTGGAATTTTGCTTTAAAAAAATCCAGTCTATTGGCATGTCTTATCTGACCATTTCTCCACTCTCTAACACTGGCCTAAGTCAATATGTAATAGTCTCCCTGCTTCCCTATGGCTTATGGACACTTAGTTCTGCAATGAACCATTACAGGGTTATTGTCAGTCAGATTCTTTCACTCTGATACTTGCAATCCTTCAGTGGCTCCCATCACCTTGGAATAAAACCCAAGTCTTTACCAGGAGGGTGCCATGTAATCTTAGCCTTTCTGTCCATCATCTTGTCCTCAATCTCAGTCCCTCAACTCTAGGCACCTGGGGCCTTTTGTCTCTTCTTTTAATGTATCAGGAGCTAAGGATGTAGCTCAGTGGTAGACAGCACTTGCCTAGCATGTGTAAGGCCCTGGGCTCTAGCCCAGCACTTCAAAGTCTTCTAATATGCCAAACTGTTTCCTTCCTCAGTGCTTTCTCTCCCTCTGGAATGCTTTCCCACAGCTGTGTATATTTCTGGGTCCCTAAGTACCACACAAATAATCTGCTCAAATATCATTTCCTCAGTGATATTTGGTCTTCTCTGATTAGCCCATTAAATCAGTTTTTCCTCACCATCTCATCCTCCATCTATAGCTTTACCTGACATTACAACATGTTTGTTTGTTTACTGTGTACCAAAGAATGTAAATCAATAAGACTAGAAACTTGGTTTGTCTTGTACATTGATTTATTCCAAGTGCTGAGGGCAGTGATTGGCACAGACTAGGTATTCAACCAAGATTGTAGAATACATAAATAAAATGAAGACCGGACTAATTGCCAACTTAGGTCATTATGAGAGTTAGAGAGGATATCATATTCATGTACTCAATTTTCTACAGTCAGAAAAGATTTACAAATAGAAGAAGGTTGGTCAGTTTTCATTTGGCTTTAGAAATTTAGAATAAAAGGTAAATGAAAATATTTCTCTTGGTATTAAAATGTTGGATTCCTCGAGATCTTAGAGGAAAGTTAAGGGAAGACCAAGAAATCTATTGGTAGAGGTGAGCATCCTGGGTTGTGTAGAAAATACCAAGAAAGTTGTTTTAATCAGCTTTTTCCTCTGCTGTAACTAAAAAAAAAAAAGACCTGATATGAACAATTTTTACAGGTAAAGTTTATTTACAGGCTTATGGTTTCAGAGGTCTTAGTCCATAGACAGCTGGTTCCATCCTCCAGGGCTCCAGTGAAACAGAACATCATGGCAGAAGAGTGTGGTGGAGGGAAGTGGCTCACATGATGATCAGAAAACAAAAAGAGACTCCACTTGATAGATACAAAATATATACCCCAAAGGCATGCCCCAGTGACCCATCTCCTTCAGCCACAGCCTACCCACCTTCAGTTACCACTGAGTTAATCCCAAAGGGGATTTGTTCACTGGTTGGGTTAAGGCTCTCATAACCCAATCATTTCTCTAGGCTTTTTGCATTGTTTTACACATGAGCTTTTGAGGGACATCTCACATCCAAACTATAACAAAAGTACTTGAAAGTTAACTCTCTTTGTGGTTTCCTTGTACCAGGTTGTGATGAAGGCAGATGCCAGCAAGAAACAGTTACCAGACAAGCAGGATCACAAGGCTTCCCTGGATTCAATGCTTGGGGGTTTGGAGCAGGAATTGCAGGACCTTGGGATTGCCACCGTGCCCAAGGGCCACTGTGCTTCCTGCCAGAAACCGATTGCTGGGAAGGTGGGATGAGCTAAGTCTGGTCCTATAGCATTTGTATATGTGTGTTTGTCTCTCTGCCCTGCCAAAGAAAGTACTTTCTACTTATATCCTAAGACTTTTAAATAATCATTAATAATTACTGATCACTTGTAGTGCTCTGATAACAGAGCTAAGTGCTTTATAAGTATTTCCTATTTAATGGTCCCACCAGCCATTATTTAATGGTCCCCCCAGTTCCCTTTGTAAAGACAAGGAAGTTGAGAGCTGAGAGGCATTAACTGACCACAGTCTAGTAAGAGACAGAGGTGAGGTTTGAAACCAGGAGAATCTGATGCCTGAGGTTGAGTTCTTAACCATTTTTTATCTCACTGCTCCCTTTGTTCAAACATTTCTGCTCTAAATTGATTAGTTTTTCAGCTGAATGTATCTTCAAATCATAGCCACAAAGTCCTGCTCTGAATCATCCTTCACCAGATCCATGTAGAGAGCTTTCCGACCGGAACTCTGTAGGGCATGAGATGAAGTGCAGAGCAGAAGAGTTAAAACTCAGTTGGCCCTTTCCTCTTCCAAGGATCCCTTCCATGTGAAAACTGGAGTTATCTCTTGTCTATCACCTGTGTGCTCTATGTTTTTCTACTGTTTTCTGAGGCAGTAGAATGAAAAGGAACCCATGTTTATCAGAGTGATCAGTCAGGAAAGTGGACACCCTTTTACTATTCATTAAGCATGACAAGAGACCACCTCAAGTGTGCTATAAGTCCAGGGATTGTTGTCTATGTGGAATGCAGTGGCCTACATAGTTGTGCAGCCTCAGTCCTTAAAAGTAGTCTGCTGGGCTTCCATTTCCGGCTCTATGTCATCCCCTAGATGATCCATGCCCTAGGACAGTCATGGCATCCAGAGCACTTTGTCTGTACTCACTGCAAAGAAGAGATTGGCTCCAGTCCCTTCTTCGAGCGGAGTGGCTTGGCCTACTGCCCCAAAGACTACCACCACCTTTTTTCTCCACGCTGTGCCTACTGCGCTGCTCCTATTGTGGACGTAAGTAAATCTCTCTCCTCTCAGGTTTCATGTAGGTTTTAATCACTCTTTAGAACCCAGATAATGTTTGACAGGTCTGCAGTCTTCTAATGTCTCTCTCTGTGTTCCTTTTTTAGAAAGTGCTAACAGCAATGAACCAGACATGGCACCCAGAGCACTTCTTCTGCTCTCACTGTGGAGAGGTGTTTGGTGCTGAAGGTAAGACTGGGAGGCTGCATCTTAAACCCCAAGGGCTGGTGGTAAGGAGGAGGCCAGCAGTGCTTTTCCTTGGAACCTGTTTTTCACTGCTGCAGCAGTCCTAGTTTCTACCAGTACCATCTAAGTGCCCTTTGTTAGCTTCCCATTGTTGTGACACAATCCTGAGAAAAATCATCTTAAAGGAGAAGAGGATTATTTTATGTCATCGATTCAGATTCATACATGGTCACTTGATTCCATTGTTTTGGGGCTTGTGATGAGGCAGAACAGGGAGTACATGATAGAGCAAAGCTGCTCACAAAATGGTGGCCAGGAAGTAGGGAGAGAGAGAGAGAGAGAGAGAGAGAGAGAGGAGAGGAACAAAAGTACCCTTTTTTGGTGGGAGGGGTACCAGAGATTGAATTTAGGGGCACTCAACCACTGAGCCACATCCCCAGCCCTATTTTGTATTTTATTAGAGACAGGGTCTCACTGAATTGCTTAGCGGCTCACTAAATTGCTGAGGCTGGCTTTGAACTCGAAATCCTCCTGCCTCCACCTCCTGAGCCACTGGGATTCCAGGCGTGTGCCACTGCACCCAGCCAAAATGTGCCTTTTAAGGGCATACCTCCGGTGACCTACTTCCTCCAAGTAGGCCCCACATCCTAAAGTTTCTACCACCTCCCAAAGCCCATTAAGTTATGAATCCATAAATAGATTAATCCATTCATGAGGTCAGAGCTTTAATAATCCAGCCACTTCTCAAAGGCTCCACCTCTAAACACTGCTGTAAGAGGACCAAGCCTTTAGCATGAACTTTTGGGTACAATTCAGATCCAAACCATAACATACTCATTTTGGTACTAGATGACATCCCTACCTCTTAAAATTTTTGATAATTGATTTTTTTAATCACAGTGATACAAATGCATAGTTTAAAAAGTCAAATGTTACTTTATGATTATTCTGGCTTAACTCTTAAATGTACTCCACAGGTTCATTTTTTAAATGTTTTTTTGAACAACTGTAACTCATACATAGAATTTGAAAATTTCTTTATTTGTCACTTTTAGAATTAACTTAGAGAGGAAAGTTCTCATCTCTTCCTAAATAAAAACTTGGCCAATTGCATGTCTTTTCTGATCACCTTAATAAATAGTTTTAGGTATAACATCAGTTTAAAACAAAACAAAAAAGTTCTGGGCTGGGGTTGTAGCTCAGTGGGCATAAGGCACTGGGTTCGGTCCTCAGCACCACATGAAAATAAATAATAAAATAAAGGCATTGTGTCTATAAAAAAATAAAAAATTAAGTCTTTAGGTAATTTAGTCTCACAGTGTCTGATTTAGTAGTAAACGAGCAGTAGTAAAGCTTCCAGATTTTTTAAAGTGGAAAAGTTGCTCTTTTTTCCTGGAGGGGCTTTAAACCTGGCCTTTCACCTCTCCTGAACTGCCTTTGCCCCTACCACCCTCACTCTAATTGCAAGCCAATTAGGGTTGAAATGTGAAAGACGGGAACAGAAGGCAGGCAAGTCCTACCACATAAAGTATTGTTATTAAATTGAGTTTTTGCTCTGGGTCTGTGTAATGTTTAACTTTCCTTCTATGGATTAAATACAGGTCCCGGAGTGAACTCTTTTGATGGCCCACTGCATGTATTGCTGGCTACTCTGTCCTTGTCATATTTCTTTGAGGACTGGTTCCTTAGAGATTCTTTTTTCATAGGATTTTTCATTGTTCCCTTCTGGTGTTTCCTTAGAAATTATTAAAATGGTTTCATATCATCTCTTTCACTCAATTTTTCATGTAAGACCTTGGGAAACCTGCCCTTTTTCCATCAGCCAATGGAATTGCACTTCACTTGCAGCTACTTTTCTATATTCAGCTGCTGTCGGCTCTGTCAGCCATGCTTTACCCTATGGACATTTTGCAGGGATGAGTCAGATACCATCAACTGTGTCTCACTAACAACAGGGCACACATATTCAGCTCTCTGAGTAGTCCTATTGAAGTCCCTCCTCTCTTTCTCTTTTTCTCCTAGCACTGGGGTTGAACCAAGGATACGTAATTAGTAAGCCACATCCCCAATCCTTTTAATTTTTTATTTAGAGACAAGTCTCACTAAGTTGCTTTGGGCCTCACTAAGTGACTGAGGCTAGCCTTGAACTTGTGATCCTCTTGCCTCAGCCTCCCAAGCAACTAGGATTACAGATGTGTGTCACCATACCTAGCTTGAGAATAGTTTTATTTCATTTTTACCTAGTTGTAGATGAAAACACTGAACTTCAGGAAAGTAATTTTCTTAAAGTCATGGTTGAGGAGATAGAACTCAAACTCAGGTCTCATTTCTGCAAATTCCATGTTTTCTCTACAACATAACTTTCCCTTGACTGTGCAGTTATTGGATCCCTTTACTTTTGTAGTACCAATGTGATGTGCTTTATTTGACAATAGACCAATGGAATAGACACAATCCACTAGCAAAGCCCTTTGTGGTAATTTGTTCACTGGAGCTTGCTCAGTGCATTTCACACAAATCATTAGGTATTTTGTTTCAAGATTGCCCTTCAGTGAAGCATCACTTTTCATTGAGGCTTGTCACAGTAAATTTACATTGTAGTGGTAGCCATAGAAGTTGAGAGTTAGTTGACTAGGATAATCAGCAAGTGAATACTGCCCACAGATAACTGTGATATGGAAGTTTCCTAGAAACAGAACAGCAGGATATAGACATATTTTAGATAGAGATGTAAGTTAGTTACCAAAGAAAAATGTCCAGTACATAGGATGACCAGAAAGCATAACACAGGTGGCTAGTTTCATTGTTCTTGACTTTGGCCTCTTATAAATAGACAAGACTGATTGAGTCATTTATGACTTTAAAGAAGCACAAATCTATACTTAAAACGTATTTATTAATGGAGACACTTGACAGAAAGGACCATTTATTAATCAGAAGCTCCTGTTAAGTAGTATTTGCATTTCTATGCCTGACTTTCTTGTAGATGGGTATCCTACCATATGGTCAGTCCATTAATTAGGTGACATCCTGCCTTTTACCCCATGTCACATAGTCACAAATAGAGTTTCAGTAATGATAGTTTAACCACAGAGTCTCTTGGGAAATTAAATTCATCTGCATTTTTTTTCTTCAGTTCAAAGAATTGCTCTTTAAGGCTCAAGTTTCTAAGCACATTGGGCCTTAGCATCCTCAGCATCCTCCTGAGGACTAGGTCCTCAGTGCCTACCTGTCTTTCATTTTAGTTGTTCATTATCCAGGCCATGCAGGTGCTCCCTAATTTCCCCTGTGGCTAAAGTCTCACCATAGTATAAACACCCTCCCTCTCTCTGTGACACTTTTAATTGTCAGTGTTTCACATTCGTCCTCCAGAGGTAATTGGCCCCAGAGAGAGCTTCTGGGAAAATAAGTGTGGAAACTTGCCCAATTTATTGGATTACTAAATGCAGGAGCATCACAGCAAGTTTGGCTGATTGCTTTTGATTCCTCTCCCAAGAGTCACCCAAGTTGAAACAGTAGCTGTTACTTCCATGCTCTCTTAACTCTTGAGACCAACTGCCCTATAAATGCCTAGAGGAGGGTCATTCCTAGGTTAGCTGGCATGTTTTACAGTTTTCCCATGTAGTACCTACTTATAGGCAAGCTCAATTTTCTGTCCTTTGCTTTATGCACATCAGCATCACCTAGGGACTTATTAAGAATGCAAAATCTGGGGCCCCATTCCATACCTATTGAGCAAAAAAAATGGGGGCAGGATGAAGAGAACCCAGTAATCTAATTTAGCAAGTTCTTAGATGAATGATGCATGCAAAAGTTTAAGAAATACTCTGCCACATAAAATGAAGAAAGATGGCAGTGGGTATTTGTTTAGATAGTAGAATTTCCTGTATTCATTTTCTCTAGAACAGACTCTAGAAATCTTTTGGGGGGTTGAAGGGAGGAAAGTAAAGTGAGCTCCTTTGTGTCTCAAGCATTTAGAAGGAGGAACATAGAGTAGCCTATAAAATTACTAGTTTGGATTCTTGGATCTGTAGGCCTCAGAGTTCTGATAAATTGTCTTTTTTTTTTTTTTTTTTAAAGCAGACATGGCTTTAACAGAGCAAACCTTGTCAAAAAGTAACAATAACTAAGGGAGAACCAACAGTTACATAATTTGAGTCTCAATCTCAGGCCGTACCTATTGTTATTTTGTGACCTGGCCATTACCATACCATCATAGTAGATTTCTGGAAATATTTCTTGGGTAGGTGCTATGTGGTCCACTGTGTATGCTTTACTTGCCTGTTATTTTAGTGAGATACAAATAGAGTGCTTATATTTATAAAACTACTGGGTTATGATATTTGGGTTCAGCTGATAACTGTCAGTTCGTTCCCATGGAGAGATCAGTGTCAGGATGCGTTTAAGTTAGGAGTATGATATTGAAATTGGGCCTTTATTTGAATCTCAGCTTCTCTACTGAGTAGTTATGAGTAACTTCTTTAAGCTTCCTTTTTCTTTTTCATTTGGGGTTAAAGATGGGGTTAAAACTCACTTCAAAGGATTGCTGGAAAGGATCTAATTTTAATTTAGTACTACAGTTAAGAGTCTTCAGCAGAAACAGTGGATTGCTGATTATTTTTATTTTAGGTGGCCTCCCCCCAGTAAGTCCTAAGGAGAATTCCTTACAGAAAAGTTCCCTATTTATACATATTCTAGTCAGTGCTGAACTGAAGCTTTCTAACTACAACAAATTTCTGGAGCTGATGATCTCATCTTTGCTCTTCTATTATTAGTCTTATGTCTATCATTCAAAAATATTCAATTAAGCAACTACTATGTATGTGTCAGGGACTATTGTGGGTCCTAGGGACAAGTAACAGAAAAGAAAGTTCCTGCTGTCATGGTAAATCCATTCCAGTCAAAGAGATGAGTAATAATCATACTAGCCAACTGATTAGGTAGTGTTTGAGATAGGGTGGTTGGGTCAATTATTCTCTGAAGCAGAATCCTGAGTTAAGTGA